TATCCCACCGAGTGACTGGTTAGCATCGCACGGCTTGTATGTGCAAAACGTTCCTCATGGGGCGTGAAGTAGGACAAATCGAAACATTACCATTTCATCCGGATAAAGTGCTGATCCATTGAAAGATTTGGAGATGATGCAGCTACCGCACGGCGTGGAGGCAGCGATCTCGCGCGTCCTGCCGTCTGACGACGTGCTAGATCGACCCGAGTTCGATTGTGTTGACTTCATCAACCGCAACTTTCCTGACGAGCAATCCCTTGCGGACATCGAGCCCTTTGTGAGTCGCTTGAATGGACGGATGAAGGAGCTCGACGAAAATTTGTCCCATGCGTCGCAAGAGCAGTCGTTGGCGGCGTACCAAGCATTGGCGGATCTAAAGGAGGCACAACAAGCAGTGACTCAATTGTACACAAAGATCCATGACATTCGAGGGAAGGCGGAGCAGTCCGAGGTCATGGTACAGGAAATTTGCCGCGACATCAAACAGCTCGACTACGCGAAGCGGCATTTGCAGACCACAATCACGGCGCTCAAGCGCTTGCACATGCTCGTGACAGCCGTCGATCAGTTGGAGTATATGGCGTCCCAACGACTGTACAAGGAAGCCGCGAGTCTGCTCGAGGCCGTCAACAGCCTGTTTACCCACTTTGAAGGATTCACCAAGGTCGGGAAGATCATGGAGCTCCAGCGCGCTGTGAACGCTATCCGCGCAGACTTGGAAAAACAAATATTTGGTGACTTTCAGATTGTGGGTCCGTTGGCTACGCTGGATTCGATTGCCAAGGACGAAGGCGAGATGCAGCGCCTGTTCGCCAACTTGGCCACAGCATGCTTGATAGTGTCGGCGCTAGGGAAGGCCACGCGGAAGAAATTCATCCAAACATGGTGCGCTGATCAATTGGCGGTAAGCGAGATCGATCGTATGTCGACCAAGACTGGCTCATGCATTTGGTAGCCGTACGAGAAGGAGTTTGGCAGCATGACGTCTCCGTCTGGGTCGCTGGCGAACATGGATTCTCGATTCACATGGTTCTTTCAGCTTGTGGGGGCCATCGAGCCCCGCATGGAAGCGATTTTCCCAACGCATTGGCAAATGGGTCGTCGCTTGTGCATCTACTTTTGCGACCGCACACGCACGCACCTGTTGGCCCAGCTTGGCGCGGTGGCGTCGGACGAGTTGGACGTGACGTCGCTTTTGAAAGCGCTGCAAAAGGCGCTCATGTTTGAGCGAGAAATTGTTCAACGCTACGAGGTACGTACCTGCTCCAGTCTCGACGATCGTCGCCTAAAGGAGCCGCGACGACTGCCGCCCGCGGATATAGGGGGGGGCAACCGACGATGACAAACCTGACTTGAACGACAAAGGGCAAGTGATTGACCCTGCGTCTGCTGAGGGCATCAAGCGCCGGCTCCTTCGACAAAAGCGTCTGGCGGAGCAAAATGCCATCGCCGAAGAGCTCAAGAAGAAGCGCACGATGGAAGGGGAGATGGGTGTGGCTCACGAGCCGGAGGAGGTCCTTCCGTCACTGAATGGGATGCTGTCCAAGTCGTTTGACCCATTCATGACGGCGTACGTCGCCCTGGAGCGCAAGAACATGGTGCGATTGCCAGCCCACATTGTCAAGGTAGCATGGCTCACATTTGCCGCAGGAATCCATGATGCACGAGGTCATGGCGTCCGAGATCGTCGACCGCAATGGCGCGCTGCCGGTGCTGTCATCGTCGGTACACATGTTTGCATACATTCGCAATAGCGTGAAGCGGTGCACGGCATTGACCATTGGCCAAACGTTTTTCGACCTGCACTTGGAGTTCAAGTATTGCCTCGGGCTGTACGCAAGTCGGTTGTTGGCCAAGCTGCCGGGGTTTGTCTCGGCTGGTGACTCCCCGGCCACGCAAACGCAGGCAGCCAAGTGGCGGCTGGGCGACAAGCAGGAAGAGGAGCTGTGCTTTGTCATCAACACGGCGGAATACTGCGCGGAAACGGTATGTGCAAGGCACGGAAAAGGATGCATTTAACAGACTTTTGCGGCATGCAGCTGCCGTCGCTGGAAGACGCGATTCGCGCCAAAGTCGACAAGGCGTTTGCGGAAGCGATCGACCTCTCGAAAGAAATCGACACGTATCACGACGTGGGTGCAGCTGCAATGAAGTGCATCGTGCTTGGGATCGACAACGTGCTCGACGACGAATGGACCAACATGCAAAAGATCAACTGGAGCGCCGTGGAAACTGTAGGCGACGAAAGCACATATGTGCTGGCGATTGCTGACAAACTCCGGCCGTACGTTCCGACATTGCGCAGCATGCTCTCGAGCTTGTACTTTACCAACTTTTGCGACAAATTTGCTGCGTCCGTCGTGCCCAAGGTGCTCCAGAGCATCATCAAGTGCAAGCGCGTCAACCAAGTTGGGACCCAACAGCTCCTCTTGGACGTGTATGCGCTAAAGACTCTGTTTCTGAACCTGCCAGTGATGGGAAAAGAAGGCGAGGTAGGTGCATGCTTGTGTTTTTGAATTGGGCTGCGCTCGACGCGTCCGCAGGTGGGGGCTCCAGTGGTGCCGGCCCGATACACGAAATTCGTCACAAACGAAATCGCCCACGTCGAAGCCGTGCTCAAGTTGATCGGAACACCCAATGACATGCTCGTTGAGAGTTTCAAGATCATGTGGCCGGACGGGACGGCCGAGAATTTTCAAAGCATTTTGAACATGAAGGGGTACGTACTGGTTGTTGGCAGCGATAGCATGCCGCCAGATGAGTGGATTTCACAGCATGGTACGGGCTGTAGTCTGAAGCGGCAAGAGCAGCTTGCTCTCTTGGAAGCCCTCGGGTTGCAGCAGCGAAAGACCCCCGCCGCCGCAAAGCTCATCGAAGGCAAGATGACCGACATGACAGAAAGCTTGAAGTCGAACATGCAGAAAATGGCCAAGGCGAGCAACCCGTTCAACTACATAAACACAAACAATTAGAGCAATGTAGCGTTGTGGGGTTGCATGGCGAGTTGCGTCGCCGAGATGGTTTGCCATGGAGCACACCAAGGTCCCGCCGTTCGACCCACATCGCATCCTTGGCAGCCATGGCCACGATCGGTTGAAGGTGGATCGACGTCAAACTTTGCGGACGCTTTGAGATCGACAGGCTTTATCATGAACGTGACAATCGTGATCTATCGCGAATAGCCTGTCGTCCGAGTCGCATGGAGCACGAATATTGGTACTTCGAAGTAGTCACTTTGCCGTTATGGTTATGTGAAGGGGAGGGTGAAAAATCGCCTTGCGCGATTGAGTTCACTGAAGCCGTCGTCACCGATGAGGAATGCGGTCCCATTCGCACCCACAGCATATGCATGGCCCCAACAAAGTCGTAACGAAGGATGGCGTTCATATTTGGCTCGAAGGTGCCACCCCGGCTCGGGGCGGACGACCAAGCACGTGTAGCCATGGACGATTAGATCAACCTCGAAACAGCGGGTATATTCACCAGCACTCGATCCGTGGTGGGGAACGGGGTTGAAATGCCCTGCACAGGCTGCCTCGTCATGCCGAGCCGTACACGAGGGCTGCCAGAGTCATGGGGGCGACCGTGCCCTCGCAACGGCACGCCCAGACTGGTGGCGACGTAAACAGTGGGACAAAAGCGGAATGATGGTCTCGGCAAGTTGCCCCCTGCGCACGATCTGTGCGAGGTGCTCCCAGCCCTGCACGCTGACGCATGGAGCCGAATGGAGACGATGAAGACGTCGCTGCTCCTATCGGCCGATTTCAGTCGGTCGCGGGGCCGTCGCGCTGGCGTTCTGTAGTCAATGTCGCATCCCACTGTTTACATCCATTTGGGGGTTGCGTGCATCACCAACACTCTTCATCGACTCCATGATGGCATTCTCCATTTCCAAATTTACCTCGCTAAGATGACAACTCCCGCGACCATGAAGGCCCTCGTGTATAGCTCGTACAGCGGCGCCAGCGCGCTATCTGTCAAAGCCATTCCAGCTCCTGTCCCCACGTTAAATCAAGTGCTCGTGAAAGTGGCCGCCGCGTCTATCAACAAAGGCGACCTAGTCCTCCTCGACGGGACCACGCTCGCAGTACGCCTCGCGGCAGGCCACCCGATCGGTCCGAATCCAGACAGCGTCATCGGGTCCGACTTTGCCGGCGTCGTTCATGCCGTGGGTGCGAACGTGACCAAGTTTCACGTCGGGGACGAAGTGTACGGGCAAGTGGACTTTACGACGGGGCGAGGGTCGTTTGCCGAGTTTGTGTGCATGTCCGAGACCGACACAATGTGCCTCAAACCCACCAACTTGACGTTTGTCGAAGCCGCGGCGATGCCTTGTGCGGCGCAGACAGCACTACAAACGATACGAGACGACGGTGGGGTCAAATCTGGCTCCAAGGTCGTGATCAACGGCGCGTCGGGGGGCGTTGGGTCGTATGCCATTCAAATTGCGAAGGCCCTCGGGGCCCACGTCACTGCTGTGTGTATCACGGCCAATGCAGGAAACGCACGAGAGCTGGGCGCCAACGTCGTGGTGGACTGTCTTTCGGAGGACTTTGTCCAGCAATGCCAAGGCCAAGCGGACGTTCACATGGACTACGTGGGAAATCGATCGATGCGAGAAAATTGCCGGGTGCTGGCGGAACATGGCACGTATGTGACGGCGGGCGGTCCACCCGAAACTTTC